ATATTTGAAGTACAAGTAAATTATATGTTTGTATGAATACTTTACTGGAAAAACCCGAAACAACCCGAAAAAACCCGAGTTTTATTGGTTTAGTTTGGTTTATAAATTTAAAAATTCAACACAAATAATTTGATTTGATATTTGAAAAATCCAAACCAACCCGACCATGTACACCCCTAAGTTGGAGTGTCCAATTTTTTCGAATGTGATAATCACAAAGACACTTCTCATTTTCTAGATGTTGATGATCATGTAGTCTATTTTTATAATCTCCTTTTTTTTTTTTATCGTTTTTATAATATTTTCAATTGTAAAGCTAGTCTTAACTTCTGAGACAAATTTTTCCGCCTTATATGTACTAATATATGATTGGATAAACTTCATATTCCCTATAACCTCCATGAAGATGCAAAACAAGTTGTATCGTGTCAAAATTCCTTCCTTATTTTGAATTTTCCCTCATTGCTATTGCTCATAAAATTATATAAATTCATAAAAGATATATAGATATAAAATAATATATATGAGATCAAAAACAGATCGATCGAGATTAAACTAATTATGTTAAATTAATAAAAGATATGAAGATGAGCATCAGATTAAATTGAACAATCAGATGATCAAATCAATAGATGATTACATCTTAGAAATTAAAATAATTTTTATCTTGAAATATAAAAAAGTTTGCTCAACACACTAAGTTTTCACTATGCATAAGATTCAAGAAAGGGCAAGATCATCTAAGATTATTTTAAATATTCTTTAAATTAAAAAAAATTGTGGTTATGTATTTTCACGTATATAGTATCTAAATATATAAGTTATAATTCCTCAGATTTTGAATTTCAATTATTCTATTTCAAAATATATAAATTTTATTTCACAAATTTAAGAAATTAACAAGAAAATAGACATAAAGTGTCATACTCCAAATTTCACCTTTTTTATTTTTTTGGAGATAAAGAGAATAAGGAAAACTAAATTAAAATAAAACAAATGATAGAGATGAGCAATAGAAGAACTTACCTTAAAAAGCTTCTGTTAATGAAGAGAAGTTGACAGATTTTTTATTTTATGAATTAAAGAGGAAACTGTGGATGAAAGAGCCATTATATAGGAGATGCTCCCTAAGAAACTGCTAAATTAGAGATTAGGAGAAAAACTCGTAGTTAATTAAATATATAAACAAATAAAAAATAAGTAATAATTTTTGCTTTATATATTTTCGAAATGAGCTAACAGTAGTATACACTTTATTTTCCTTTCTTACCGAAGAAGTACAACAAAACTTTGAGTAAAAATAATGATAACGATAGCGTGGGTCTACTTATTCAATTTTATATAAATTTAAGTGTTTATTTGTGCATATTCAAAGTTGAGGGGCTTAAATGTCAATTGAGACAAAGTTAAATGATATGGTTATGCACTATATATGTCTTTAATAATTAAGTAGTGATGAGTTTTAGTTTTGATTCTCCTAATATGTAATTTTTGCACATTTATATTTTGATTATGGATATATAAATGCACTATAAATGTCTTTAATAATAGATGGGTTCGTGGATACTGTTTGGCAGTTATTTCTCAGGGTTGGGTCTTTTTCTTCTTTTTCAATTCATAAACTATGTCATTTTAGGCCTATTTGAAGGACTATATGTAACTAATTCCTAAGACCCTTAACCACTCAGATTCACTCTCATTCTCTCAATCTCCAAATCTCCGTCAAGTCTTCTTTAATTCCTCAAGCAATTTAGGGTATCAAGAACTTCAAGTCTCCATTGAAGATTTCATCTAGGGTTTTCATCAAGGTATGTGGGAGTATCATCAATCGAGTCTTCTTCATCCATTAAGTCTCAAAGAAACCTTAATTTCTCAATTATGATTTTTATCCAAATCTAGGGTTTCAAGATTTTCATATGAGTTCTATTGAATTTAAGTTTATTCATTATGATTGATCTTATTATGCATGATTTGATCATAATTCAATGTTTATTTTCATGAACTCATGTCATGCAAATATTTTATTATCATGATTTAAGTTATGTTAATATGCATACATTATATATGTTATGAAGATTTTCATGAATTAAAGATGCTTTCGAATAAAGTATCAACAAGTTATATGGAAATATGATGCTTCCAATTGAAGTATTTCTCATTATGAATGACTATCATGATTTAGATGCTTTCGGTTAAAGTGTCTCTCAAGACTATGCTATGTATCACATGGATGTCTCAAGACTGTTATGTATCACATTAGGGGTGTGCGAAAATCGAACCGATCAATAAACCGAATCGAAAAAAATGTTGTTGGGTCATTGCTATTGAGTTATTGGGTTAACGAGTTTTTAATGGTTTTATAAAAAAATTTATTGGGTTATCGGTTTGGTATCGATTTTTAGTATTGGGTTATTGGGTAAACCGATAACTCATTAAGACGATAGTAAGTTACTACTACACCCTTCATAAATATTAAATATTAATAATAACATAATTAGACACTATATCAATACTCTACACTACGGTCTACACACTTCACACGTCATATTACTTCTACTTCACATCAGAAATTTCATATTATGTTTTGGCTGTAACATGTTATTTTAGCATTCATACTACATCTACTCTTATAATTGATGCAATTTCTCATTATATTTCTTGTTTTAGTATATCAAAGCATTTACAACTGATTTGCTTGTCTTACTGTATCATGTCAAATTGTTAGGGAAGGGAGAAATCATGTATTTACTTTATGAGCATTTTCTTATTGGGTAAACCGAAAACCGAACCGTTAATGACCATATATCGATAAGCCGAAAACTGATAAAGATTATCTTGTTGGTTTGTTATTGGTTTAGCTTATTTAAAAACTGAAATCGAAAAAGTGAACCAATAATACATAAAACCGAACCAATCGATGCACACCCTATATCACATGGATGACTCAAGGATAAAGCTAGTAACACATCTACTTTAGGCACCAAATTTTGAGTCCAAAGATATACTATAAAAATAATTAAGATAAAAAAATATTTAATAATTTAGTTGACTCTCTTAATTCTATTTGTGTCGCATAAATTAAAATAAATAAAATAATATATACCGGGACTTTTGTATCTAGTCTACCTAGAGACCCAAATATGTGGTTTTAGATGTGAGGTTGAGTTTAAACAATTTAATCTAGAGCTTCTATTTGTTTTGGATGGAAAAGAACTCATATAACATTCTCTGATTGAATCTCTAGTATTATTACAATTTAATTTGTAACCAAAGTGGATTATATTTGTTGTGTTTAGAAGTGGTGTCGTGTATTAATTAAAGTAGATTTTTTTTTTTTTCAATTTTTATGACTCACTTTTTTTTTTTAGTTAATTTAAAAATAATA